ATAAGAAGTTAGGTGCGCACACTTGTAGGGCAACTCTCTACGTTACAGGCACCCCCAAAGAACACTGCATCAGTGTGCACTAGGGACGTGTTTCATTAAGCAGACAGGTCATAGAAATTTTATAGAGTCCTCCTGTATGTCAAAGCCTGACTGATTTCCTCACTCTTCACACAGTGACAGCACCACAGGGCCTGGAGTATAGCTTAGAATTAAACTAGCACCTCCCGGCATTTACTGCTTTTTGTCATTTCTTCCTATTTGGCTCATGGGTGCCAACTTCAGCTCTGCTTTTCTTGGATGAAACCAGAAAATTATTGAGTAAAGAAAGGTACTCTTTCTCAATGCGTGGAAGGTGCACGCGATTAGGAGAGCCAGACTGCACTTACAGAAAACCTGCTGTGCTTTATGTACGGTATGAGTCTAATGGACTTGATCACTCAGGAATAGTGTTACTGTTCAAAACCAGCTTGGAAGCAAGAGCTAAAAACTTTAAACTCACTGCTTTCTGCACTGCGTGGACACCTCTCTGTAGATGAAGGTAAGCATTAAGTCATAGAAATTTTATGCATGTGTATGCCTACATTTTCCTGGTTAACAGATGACCTTCAGAAAAACACTAGCATTCTTCAAGATCAGATGCATAAGATGGACTATCCTGAAAAATTTTAAAACTATACTTTCTAGTCATCTCTACCTAAAGCAGCAAATTCTGCATAAGATTGGTAGACAGAGAATGGTGCTGTGTTATGCTCAGAACTTGAATGCTTCCACTTCTTTCAAGCAAGGTAAGTGCTAACACCAAATTAGTTAGATGATTTATGTCCATCAGGTTGACAGTATACATGACAATGGTATTTATTCTCTTAACAGTACCCATTGTGTATACTAACAGTATATAGATATTCTACTAATGTAAGATTATCAAGAGCTAAGAAAAACTGCAGTTGCAAATTCTCTCAGTAAGGATTATTCAGCTGGAACGTGTTTTACTTTAGAGGGCTTTTTAGTATTTATTACAGAGCATATAAAAGTAATCCAATTGTGATAAACTAACTGAAGGTTTCAAATTGCGTAATTGCTTTAAGTCACTTCAAAAAGGATTTTCTTTTCCAGAATCCTACTTCGAACATGAAATGTTATTCCAACATGGATGAGGTATCTATTTATAACCAAATGTTTGTATGTAATGGTCAGATGAAAAAAGAGGAGATGAATGTTTATTTTAGTCTTGATTTTCATCCAATACTTTGCGTAATTTATCCTGAAATTCTAATTATATCCCCCTATATAAGCACCACAAATATGAAAACTGAGAGAAAATCAATTTGCTAGAGCTTTTTTCCTCTTCTTTTTCCAAAGTAAAGAGATGCTTGCGGTCAAATTACTTAATGAAAAGAATTCAGTGTGTTAGTGATCATCCCAACAAAGAAAACATGTCCATTTACAGTATTGTTTAACTATTTCCATAGTTGGTGACCACATTAAATGGGTATTTGAATGGGAACATGCCAGATTAATAAAAACAACTTTCATGGGTGCCAAACATTAGCTTTTTCTACAAAATTAGCTAAAAGCATGCAAAAGCAATGTGCAAAATTGCACATACCTACTATAACTACTGGCCTCTTAGGTAACATGCAAGGTCTATAGCTGATGTGATTTTGTTTAAGAAAGCAATGTCAATAAAATACACCAGGAGTTATTACCAGCCCATTATGCCATCATCCAAGCTTATATTGAACCACAGACATATATATGTATTATAGCTCAGGAACTGTAACACAGCAGGGGTATGAAAATGGGTATCTATTCATGAAAGAAATCTACAGTTTATGCTGAAGTACATGAAAAATAATGTTAGCTGAACAAAAAACATAATAACCAGAAGCTGTGCAGTTCAACAGCCTTTTAGTAATTGAAGAATAAAATTGAATAAAAGTTAATTTTAAAAAGTCAGCCACTGGTAGACCTCAATTAAATGAAGGCGCCTGGGATTTGCAACAGTGAATCAGAACTTTGATTCTTCTGGTTGCCAATAGTGGTCCAGACTGGAGGCCTCTGAGAAAGGAGTGACAGTGTTTTTAATGAACAGCAGCTGGGTCCAAGTTCTTGGCCTAAGTTCT